ATTTAAATTTTAAATTTTAAATTTTAAATTTTAAAATTTAAATTTTAAATTTTAAATTTTAGATTTTAGATTTTAAATTTTAGATTTTAGATTTTAAATTTTAAATTTTAAACTTTAAACATTAAATTTAAAATTTAAATTTCAAACTTTATATTTTAAATTATAAATTTTAAAATTTATATTTAAAATATCTGTATTTTCTGAATTCATTTTTTCACTTTAAAATTAAAAAAAAATGGATGTATTGGATGGCCATAATCCATGGATAGTGAAATTCAATGGTATTGGGCTATTGCATGTTTTCTTTCCCGATTGAATTTGAAGATTACAATAACTTTTAGGCCATTGTTGGGCCAACTTTAAATATTCATAACTTGAGTATGAATGTTGAATGTTCAGCAAAAAAACAAGAGAAAGAATTATAAGAGTCATAGAAATTTGTGAATAGTTAACCAAAGTATGTTTCAAGAGAATGAATACGAAAAATAAGGAGAAGCACCTAGTGTTATTTATACTAGTTTGAAGGGTGCCAAACTTTTAATAGTAGACTTTATCTCCAAGCCTTGAAGGAGGTTGAGTCATTTGATTATCACAAAAATATTGCAAGAAATGGCACCAATATTCATAGGACAAATTTAATAAGGTCAAATTAAACATTTTATTTTAGAAATTTTGGCTCCATAAGATAAACTCTCCAAATTTGGAGAGGGGGTGATAGTAGGCAGGATTCAATAATGCAATGTCCTCTCCAAATTTGAAAAAAAAAAACGTGTGAAAGTAAATAAAATTCAATAATAGAATGAGATGATCCCATCCTTTTCCATCACCTCTGCCATTCCTCACTTTCATAAGCCAAACAGAATTTTTTTTTTTTCTATTTGCCAAGCAATGTTATTGAGGTATCCTAATCTATAGGGTACCAAACCTGAATTTGCCAACCAACCCAAAGCTCCAATGAATTGATGTACCCAATTCGCCTTAAGTATGAAGATGTAGCATTTCGGATCAAATTTATTGACTTGATCGAGATCCATTACTGCTTTTAGTCAGCATTAAAAGTTAGTTAGGGAACATGGCTTTGTAGGATAATGCTTTGGACTGACGGTAGCCCGAGAACCTAACTAATGGATTTAAAATATTTAATAAGTTAATCACTTATATACTGTTAGTATAAAATTTTTTTACACTGATAACCAATCATATCCTTTAATAGTATCATGTTAGTTTCTTATTTAATGAAATAAAAGTAAAATAAAATAATTTAAAAGATATAATTGGTTGCCAATATAAAAAACTTTACACTGCAGTGTATGGATCAATAACTCATATTCAATACCATATTTTCATTGCAGACTTGTTGGTTTTGCTTCTAATTTTCAAAAATGTTATATGTTAAATTAAAACAATGAAAATATATAACAATACTGAAGTTATATGTTATATGTTATATGCAACATGAGATTTTTTTAACTATTAATAACCTAC